GTAACGATATTTAATATAAGTTCTAACACCGTGTCTACAACGGACAGCGCAACAAAATACAATAGAATCTATTATAATCAGTGATGCTGTTTACACTGGATGTGGCGCGACACAACAAATCCCTGACAGTAAACTGATGCCTCATTCTATTTATGATGTACTGACACAAAGTTCAAATGATTTTTAACAGTCACTTTGTCGCATCCAGTGTAGACACTGTGTAAGAGTGTGTAGCTTGGAGATAGAGAATGGGAATCTGCTATATATATTGGTATACAATACAAATCACCAGAGGAAAAAATGACTATTTATGTTAATATTTTTAAGAGCTTCTTGGATTTTATTAGAATAAATGGATTAATATTCGAATCCCTTGTGTTATTTAAGTTTGAAATAAGTCTCTTATGTTCACAAAGAAAACTGCATTTATTTGATCATAAATAAAAACAGTAATGTTGTGAAATATTACTATTATTTAAAATAACTGTTTTCTATGTGAATATATTGTAAAATTTAATTTATTCTTGTTTTCACAAAGCATGATTTCTGAAGGATCATGTGACACTGAAGACAGGCGTAATGATGCTGAAAATTCAGCTTTTTTCACTTTTTAAAACATACTGAAATAGAAAATAGTTATAAAAAATGGTAATTTCACAATATTACTGTTTTACTGTATTCTAATCAAACAAAAATGCAGCAGTGGTGAGCATAAAAGACTTATTTCAAACACATGACAAATCTGACCCTTAAACTTTAGGTAGTGTATGTTTGAGGTATTACTTACTAGTCATATGCTTCATAATGTCTAGATATGTTCTTCGACAGGAGATACGCTCCAACTCTAGTGCACGGCCATCAGCATGGAAGAATCTAGCAACATAAACAATCTGTCACAGAGTCAACAATATTTATTATACAATGCCATTGCCAGGTTTATTATAAATAAACTATAGCAGAGGCGAAATCCAGAAAAGAAAAATAATAATTTACAGAATATACAAAAAAGGATTTAATAACAGAATGTACATTTTTAGGTTTACTTATTTAGTAATGCTCTTACAGTGTTACTTATGTATGGACATCAAAGCCCTTTTAAAATAACTAACAAGCAAACACACGCACATATATATATATATAATGCATGGTGATATAGGCGAAATATGTTATGACAAACACACACACACACACATATATATATATATATATAATTTTGCAAAAGAAAATTACAGATGCATGGTGATAAAGGCGAAATATGTTATGGAAGATGCATATAAAGTTATTTAATAAGCTTTCTCAGATCACCTGTGTTTTCTATATCTCTGTCAGCAGCTCCCGTCAGAAAGTTTAAAATCAGGAACTTCTCCTGTGTCGTAGAGTTGTTTTTTTTCGCTTCTGAAATCACAGAACAAGTGGTATCAAT